AGCAGCTCAAGCTCTATCCGATGATGTAAAAAAAACGCGAAAAAAAATTTTCACTTGAAATTCGCATTGCCGGCACCTTACAATAATTGAGAAGAAATATAAACTGTTTTATTCTTTATTCGTACACCTTAACACCATCATAGAAAATAATTGTAATCTTGAAATCGATTAAAAGAATAATATAGATATGCGTTGACAGAAGTTCTTTCTCGTAAAACATCTCAACAAGTGTGAGAATCTCGATAAAGTGGTAGTACAAATCAATGTACAACAATAGTTGCCTTTAATTCTATTCAATATCGAAAAAAACAAAAAAATATTATCCAAAAGAGAAATTATCGATCAAGGTTCTTTTTTCATTTAATATACATATTGTATTTACATATGGATTAATACATTGCTACGCATGAATAGAGAATATCCATTCTTGATTGATTATTGTTTATTTTAACATGCATATAGTTCTCAAAACAATATATTTATCTAAATTTATATGAATATTTTTTAAATTTTGTCATAACCTTTTTTTTTAGTAATATCAGAAGTGATATCATTGCCGAAAATCTATGACATCTATCTTAGGTAATAAAATAAGTAACAAAGTGCTACCCTCTACTATCAATACATATTGAAAGTAGCGTCAGAACAAGTATCTATTATTGCTTAATAAAAAAGTAAAACAATACCAATCAATTGATTTGTTTTCTTCATATTGGATACCTACTACTTTACCTGTATATATCTCTCTTATAGATAAATAAAAGGTAAAAATTATTGATCTTATCTGTTCGGCAGTGGTCTCTCTCACTTATCATTAAATGTTCATATCAACATCAAACCGTTCGTCCAACGGGTATAATTTACCGTTTAATTTTTGTTTTTAATTTATTATGTCGCTTTATAAAAAAAAATATATATATATAATCAATTAAATAATTTCATTCATGATTTAGTTTGTTATTTCGCGTCATATATCAATGCTTATATATTTTTGAAAATTATTCATTAATAAACTAATCATTTTTATTAATAGTAAATAAAATTGAGTTGGAATTTTGATTAAATTTTTCTTTTTATTTTTTATATCTCGTCAGTAATGGTACATCTGATACAGAAATGCATGAATTTGTAACAACTACAAATAATGAAGAAAATTGTACTAGAATTCAACGTACTGAATCGACTAGTTCAAATGATAGTCTCCCTAATAAATTCAAAATACGAGTAAGAATAAAAAAAGAATTACAACAAAGATTAAAAATTAAAATTAATATTTTCCTTTTTTTTTGTGTATGTGTATTTTTATAGCAATTATTATTAAATGCAACTATTCCAATAATTCAATCTCGACATATTATACCAATCCGTCGTCAATTGTCTCATTTGAACAAAAAACTAAAATTAAATCCTAATACTACTAATAATCAAGATAAAAATAAAGGATATCTTATGGTTGAAAAATTCAATTCAGATTTTATTGTATTACCAAATGATAGTATTGATCAAGATGTAATACAAAATACTCAATCATCTATACGAATAAATGAAACTATACTCGATTGTAATTCAATTGAATATCCATCAACAATATCAAATACAAATAATCTTTTAGAAACACAACACATATTATTTGATTCATGTATAACACCTATTCATAATTGTTAGTTGATATTTCTAATCAATGAAATAAAAAATTTTCTTTCACTGTTTATTTAAGGTTTAAATGATACATTCAAAGATCTATCAATACAATCAAATGTTAACATTGATGTACCTATAGATGATCTTTTAAATATTCATGATATACAAACATCAGATACAATATCAACACAATCATCATTGATTTCAAATGATTCAAATCATGAATATACGGGAATTAATCGATTACTTCTTAGTGATTCTGAATATAGTAATGTATCTTTGACATGTGAAAAAAAAACGAAGTTAACTAAATTTACAAAAATTCAAATTTTATTATATAATTTTATGTGAAACTTAAGATGAACTTTCTAACTGTAGAAATTTTGATATATATATATAAAACAATTAAAATTGAGTTCTATTCATTAAATATCAATGTATATTGTTAATCAAATCAGGTTATAAGAATTTTGGATAGAACCGAAATTTACTTCATCAATCATAATAAAACTGCCTTATGCCTAAGAATAATTGATACATAATCACGTAAATCTCTTCAGCTCCCTTCTTTCGATGTCAATGATTTTTTTGTCTATAGATACTACATAGTATTTTAATAAGAGCTTCAAAAGGATTTAGTGTTGTATTGACATTTAAAAAAGGGTATCGGATTTTGATTTGGAATTATGTGCATGTGGAGAACTCAACTAGATTAGCTTCAAAGGAGAAAAAGCAAGACTCCCGTACTTACGCTGCACAGGAAAGTATAGTCATACAAGGAAGTACGCACAACGGAAGTCTCGCTTTTTCCGTCTTGACTTGTTTCTATGGAAAACGTCAGAAGATTCAAATGAAGTCTATTCAAAATATGAAGCTGTCAAAAATACATGTTAGATAAACTTTGCATGGAAAAGGATCTATATTTTCAAAATCTCATATCTCAAAGAGATTTTGTTCAAAATTTGTAAATTTTTTTTTTTTATAAAAGCTAGTCTAGTTGAGTTCTCCATATGTACAAATTTTTAGAGCAAAATTTGATAGCTTTGTCAAATGTCAATAGGAAATTAAGCCAAAAAATCATTGAAATTGAAAGTGCGAAGTTGAAGAGGTTCCGTTGTGGGTATCATTAGGTACTAAGGAATGTTTCAGCTAATCATAGAAATAAGACTTTCTATGATGATTAATCCTTGAGCGACTAATGACGCATCTATGCGTCATCAATGTTATCATCATGTAGAATAGACGCCCTCATTTATATTGCATATTTTTTCGATATATTTGCGAAGAAAAAAACAAACATTCGAACAGCAGAAATTTTTCGTATTGTCATTTTTTTTATGGCTCATGTTATGTTAGACTCATACGTGAATTAGTGAAAGTATGCAAGATGTAAAACAATTCTGTTCCACCCACGTGAATTTTTTTTGTGGGTAATCAAAGGATTAATAAGATAAAATTTTGTCGAGTTTCATATTTCTATGACTTGTCGATGTGGGCTAAAAGTCAATATTAGCTTTGAAAAAACCAAGTTGAGTTAATAGAATAGCTATTTCAGTCACAGATACACAAGGAATTTCACCTAGACTCATTCTATTCTAGAAAAAGTAGAAATCCAAGAAAGTAATCAATTAAACGAAGAAATAAATACTATTCTAGAATCTATCACACTTCTCTTGCGGTGTACAGTTTAAGTTTACTGACCACCGATTTAGGATAGTTACTGCACATTGGTATTAATAATCACCAAACCATAGGAACATACTACTACCAAAAAAAGACATATTTTAATAAAATTCATGACAAGAGAAAATAGCAGACACTTCAATTTTGAAGCCTTCTGTAATTCTACGAAGTCTTTTAACACTTTTCTCTATAATCGCTTTTCCATCGAATTTTTCGCTTGTTCTATTAGATCAATTCAAATCTGATGAAAATTTGGTAGTATGATTTCTCTATTTGACAAGACACCATAGTCTATATAACTCAGCAAGTATTAAAAAATCTAATTGAAATGCAACGATATTATTTGAAAAATATGAATTTATTTATTTTTTTGTTAATTCTGAAGTTCTAATTTTCACTTTTTTTTTTGTTTTTATAGTTCAAGGTCAAAGAATGGATCTTGAATGTCTTACTATGTTTGAAATAGATGTATCTAATGAACGTGATTCTCTTGAAGAAGATCCAGATGTAAATAATAATTTTAAAAATAAAATATAAATTAAACTCTTTTTATTTTAGGATGAATTAGAATTTAAACGTTTGTATGATGAAGCATTAAAAAAAAATTTAAAACTTAAACAAGAATTGAAAACATTAAAAGGTTAGATCAATTATTTTTCAATAATTCATATTTATTCTCTTTTTTATTCTTATCAAAGAATATCATCTAATGAATTCGTCATGGGTATGTGAATTTTGTACTACGCTTAATGAATCTTATATTAAAACATCATGTGATGTATGTAAAATATGTGAAAGTGCAAGTCCATTGAAACGTGGTAAATAAGATCGTATTGAAATTTATAATTTATTAGTAAAATGTCTTTTTTTTTTGTTTTTCATAATTTTAGCTATGCTAAGCAAATAATTTTGATAAACCCTATTTAATTTTATTCTTATTTTTCGCATTTAAATTAATTAATTAATAAATTATTCACAATTTTGTGTTGTTGCGCTTCTACAATGAAATATATCGATATAGATCGATATAAAACTAGATTGCTTTTATTTGTTAAGTCTATTTTGAATAGAAAATGAACATTAATTTATTTTAGATTATCATGTCATCATCACATGATGATATAACAAATCTTAATAGTGATAATATATTGATACAAAATGCGTCCAATATGGCTCAAATAGATGATAAAAAAAATATGAACAACACACAAGATAATATAATTCAATCAAATGATAGTGATTTACAACATGAAATTCCAATGAATTTATTACCGGCTGGTAACTTGAGAAATTTTCAATTTTCTAACATACGATAGATTGAAATAAAAAAAAAACAATAAAAGAATAGATTTAACATCCTGCAAAAAACAGCTCTATATAAATGTCTTTAATAACATAATCTATTTCATATAAACAATTGAGAATATGTGTTACTTCACATTGCAAATGTTTGGCAATATCTTGTCTATATGTAATAGCTGAAAAAAACAAGATTAAAAAAAAAAAAGGTGCTTTAAAATACTAATATTTGAGCGCTTGAATAATCATTAATATTACATTTAAAACAAAAATAAAAAACATTGCTAATGATTTGAATTCTAACTTGCTAAACTAACAACTTGTTATGATTTTTTAAATGATTACATTTGTAAACGAATACTTTCGATTAGATATTGCTTTTTTTTTATAGTTTTATAAATTCATGTATTTCCGATGTAAACTATTGTTTGACATATTAGAAATTCTTTTAAAAAAATAAATTAGTATATTTAATATTTTAATATAATAACCAAATATAAACTTCAATAATTTTTTTTTGTCTATATAAACAATTTGCATATTTTTAGTTTCTTATCTCATTTGTGCATGTCTACATATCTACTTCTATATGTGAGCAGTTAAATATAATATGCTAACTTGATTAGATTTTGCTGACAATATATATATATGATTATTTATGATTAATTTGTATCATCGCTCTATTGAAATTTATAATAATGTCAATAATTATTGGATGATTCTTTCGCGAGTATACTAGAGTTTATATTGACTTCAGTTGAATGGGGTAAAACTTTTTGAAATAATACAACTTGAAGTCATGATCTAAAAAAAAAGAAACATTTTCAAAAAGTTTTAAAATAATGCCGTGATAGTTTTCGACCATCAAGTCAAGGAGCATCCTTAGTTAAAGTCTGATTTCTAGAATCTCTATTTTCTTTACATTGAAAAGTTAACTTTTTCAGTATTTTAAAAGCAATATTTAATGATTTTATATGTGTTAGAATCGTCTTTAAACATAGGATTTTGACTAGAGGAAAATCTTAAATTTGAAATATTCTTGATATAGACTATTAAAAAAAATGTATTTATTTTAATAGACAATGAAATTTGAAAATTCATCGAAACACCTTTTCCCTTCCCAAATTCTTCTACTGAGCGATCGAATTTGATTTTAAAGCTTTTCAAGTTTTATAATTGAATAGTACATGTTCAAAGACGATTCTAACACATATTAAATCAATAATTCATTTTTGTTATTTATTGAAGAAACTGTACTTCCAAAATCTCGACAAAGTTCATTTTTATGAGAGACTTTTTAATAAAAAAGAGAACACGAAGAAAAAAAAAAATTTTCACTTAATAAAATCATCAGAGATAGATAAACTCTAGAAATCAAGTTTCCGTTGAAAATACTTTTTGATTTGATAGTCGAAAACTATAACAATATGCTTTTAAAATTGAAATAAATGCATTTGTGTATGCTTTGTAAAAGAATTGCTCTATTATTATTACACTTTTTTTTGTCTGTTAATATAGATAAACATCCTTTTTGGAACAATTCTGCAGAAAATCGTGGAGGTATTGAAGATGCACCACAACTTGAATATGATGAACACGATATTCATTTAATTGCCGATCGAGGTAAATTATTATTGATATAATTAATAGATTTCTTAACATAAATTTCATATATCTCTAAAGAAGTTGAGGATGATGATCCATTAGAATATGGTAAGAATAAGAAGTTAGATAAATCAATTAACTATTTTACTGACTGGATATAACTCTTAAGCTTTATTGATTTTTTTTGCTGCACGATTCTTCTCTTAGATAACGCCGATTTTCGGCAGTATCTTCATTTTGACAATCACCAACATGATTTTGTTTTAAATAACAAGAATAATATTGGTGATGGTAAATAACGCTTTCTTTTTTTTTTCTTTTTTTTTACTTACTAATTCTTTCATTATATTTCAATAATATAATTTATAAATTTTATATTTAGATATATCTGCATCAGGTATAGGAGACACATCGAAAAACCAAGGCATTATTAAAGGCCATATAACATCTGATGGAATAATTGATGATGATTTTGAATCGGAATTAGGTGGACGTGAAACAACAGTTAGTAAAATAATAAGGATTGTTTTTAATCTATAAATATATTTATTTATGAAGGAGTTTCATGATACAGAAGATCCTGATTATAATTTACTAAGAAAAATTGCTGATTATGGAATAATTGAATTGTGTGGTGAAGATAAATTTGGTCGAAAAACAATTGTTTGTTCAGCGTGTCGTTTACCACATGAAGATATAATAAAACATAGTGAATTTAAAACAGTTGATAAATTTTATAATTGTTTATTAAAGTAAAAATTTTTTTTCCTTTTTTCCATTTAAACTTAAACAATATTTGTTTTTTTTTTTGTTTTCAAAAGATATATTTTAAGAACATTTGATCAATATGTTGATATGGATTATGTAATTATTTATTTTCATCATGGTTTACGTTCATATAATAGACCATCATATGGATGGTTATTAAATGCTTATTTTCATTTGGATCGAAAGTATGATTTATAATTTTGAACCGATTGAATTTGTTTTTACATTTTTTTTTCATCATTTTAGATATAAGAAAAATTTAAAAGCATTATATATTGTTCATCCAACAAAATGGATTAAATTTTTATGGCCATTTCTTCGTTCAATAATAAGGTAAATAATCGGATATTTTCATATAAGCTTTTTTTTTGTTTTTTTTATTTATAAAGGTTTTTTTTTTTATAAATTTAAGTGCAAAATTTTCAAGTAAACTTATTTACATTAATCGTCTTGGTCAATTAATGGAATATGTTCATATGGATAATATTAAAATTCCACCAGAAGTTAAAGCGTATGTTTTACTATTTTCTTTTAATTTTATTTAAATAATGATTTAATTTAGTATTGATCCAATTATGCCAATAGAAATACCACCAGCAGAAGTAAAACCAACAATGAAATTTCATGTTTCACTTCAATTGTAATTTCATATAACAAACAAAAAAAAAAAACATAAAGTTTAATTATAATTGAATGATGTTTTTTTTTTTTTTATGCATAGTATTCTTGATCATGAACCAGGTGAAACAATACCGATGATTGTTCGACAAACAATTGATTATATTAAAAGTGTTGGTAAAGAAAAATTTTCTTTTATTTTTTTGAAGAGAATTAACAAAATTGAATTATTTAGGACTTAATGAACCAGGAATATTTCGTCGAACAACACTTGTTTCATTAATTAAACAAGTACAAGAAAAATATAATCGAGGTTAGATAGAAATGAGAATTTTCTTTTTTTTCTTTTTATATGGATTTATTCATGAGAATATTTCTAGGTGAACCAGTTGTATTTCAACAATATGGTGATGTTCATTTGGCAGCATGTATTTTAAAAACATTTTTACGTGATTTAACTGAACCATTAATGACATATCGTTTATATCCTGAACTTCTTGGACTCTCAGGTAGTGAGTATATGATTTACACATATATATTGGTTTTCGTGTGAAAATTATGTGTTGGCCAAACCTACTCAATTCTCTTCTATGCTTATAAATGCGGTACACATATAATTTATATGGCACTATTCCTTTGTTTTGCTTTTATTAAGGGACGTGTGCGCTTCTTCTTTGTTTATATTACACATTAAAGTTTTCTTTTTTTTTTTTGTAATTTTAATTTGATTGATATATTGTTTTTGTTTTTCATTTAGCACTTAAACGACACAATCAAATTAATGTTATTCGAGATTTGATTATTGAAAAATTACCAACGGAAAATTATCATATTTTAAAATATCTTATTGAATTTTTAAATTTGGTAAGAGTTTTTATTTGATAGAATATAATTCTATTTAAACAAGATGTCGACAATGTAGAGTTCGTACAAAATTTTCTGTCTCGATGGAATAAAACTCCTGTAAAAATGTTGCTTTCATAGTGAAACTCCTAAAAAAATTAGATTTTAAGAAAAATATAAAAGCCTATATAAATTGAAATATGTCAAAAGCATAAAGTTTCAGTAATTTCAATGCTTATCCGAGTTTTTGTAACACCGCCTAATACAATCACAGATCATATATAAATTATTTTCTTATTACATTTCTTCTAAAGGATTACGTATAAGAATGGTGAAGAAATGTGTCCCAAGATGGACTTTTTGTGGAACTCACGTATATTTTCGAAGAAAATAGTGAGTGAAAGTTTTAAATTCAAGTTTTTGCGGCTCCCCCTCTCCCTTCCGCCCCATTATAGACATATAGCAACGTAGGCTCCCGTTACAGACATCAGCAACCACATACAAAAGGCTTCAGATTTATTTAACAATAAAAAAAACTATTTTTCAGTTTACAAATGATACATTAGGATAACAAGTTTGAAAGATATACGTGGATTTCACATTTTAGCTCCAAAGAAGCTGTGCTAACAAACTTCTTTTTTATTATTTTTCTCATCATATGATTACGAAAAAATTTCAGTATCGAGTCATTAACACCTTACATTTGGGAAAAATGCATAGGCGAGAAGAATAAGTCTTCATCGTCATTTTCATTGTTTGATATTGTGATAAATACTGACAAGGGAATCTTTTTAAAGGAGAATTAGCTCTTGAAATGACTCGTACTATATTAAAATATCATTTATCTTCAAATACCAATAGTAAAAATTTTACTATGTAAAACATAAATTTTATTGTTAAACTTATATGTGTCATGTTTTGAGACACTAGAAAGTTTAATACTTTGACAATAAACTAATTCTATTCGGAGCTTTACTTTTGAAACTTTTAAACTCGAAACTTAGAAGATTATTTTAAAAGCAATTGGAATCAGATCATTATATTATCTTGAGAAATTTACTAAAATGATCATAAACAAAAAAAAGAAACACTCTATAGACACAATTTATTTTAGAGTCTTTCTACTTTCAATAAGCCTTACTTAATGAACTAAATCCTATTTCAAAAAAGATTTAATAATTGACAAAGTTTTCTTATAATATTTATAATACTTGATCATAAATATGCAAAAATTTAAAAACTCACATTCACTTTCATGAATTGGACTCTATTGATATCTGATACAGTGACTTCTTGTTTACATTAATTTCTATCAATTTGTTTTTGTCTTTAATTTAGATTTCGGTTTATTGTGATACAAATCTGATGACAACGAAAAATTTAGCAATTGTTTTTGGACCTAATTTAGCTTGGTCTGATGATGTACAAATGAATACATTAACTAATATTTCACTGATAAATACATTTACAGAAATATTAATTGCACGTTATACAGAACTTTTTCTCAAATGAACAACATATTTTATATTCTTAATAAACAATGTTTCTTTTTTTTTTTTTCTTTTTTCTTTTATTCTTCGCTATATTTTTTATGTTGTCTTTCAATTAACTAGCATTTCAGCAAATAAAATTATGCATTCCATTTTATTTATAATTTGTGATATTATTTCGATGTTTAATCTAAATAAATCGTTTTGCTTTTAGATTTGATTTTTTTTAGTCAGAAAAATGAAATGTAAAAAAAAATAAAATATGTCTATAAATAAGTTAAAGGTAATATAAAGAAGATTTTATTTGATTTAGCAATGAATCTATTCTTATGTATTAAGAGATTCTAATTAAAATACGTCCAGCCTCATAATATTTAGCTCGTTAGACTTCTCATTTATTTCGTCAATCAAAAATTTGAAACTTGATGAATTGAAGTTTTCACATTGTCTCAGAATCTTGACAATTATCGATAAACTAAAGATTGAATTGTACAATTTTGCAACTCTATGTTATCAGATAACATGAGTGATGCATTCATTATATTACTTTTTTCATTCACACGTTCATCAGTCATTAGCGTTCCATGAATCTCAACACAGATATTTTCAACTGCGCTTATTACGATACTTTGCTTTGAAAAATTACTGAGCTGGAAAAAAAGTTTCTACATGACTCTAGCAGACGATGTTATTTTAGAGGCTTATATGTAGTGCAAAAATGCAGGAAGATGTGTTTCAAGTATCTTGAAAGAAGTATAAAGCAAATCTTTTACAATCAAATGAGAGCTTTTAATTTTTATGAAAGAGGTACTTAAGATTTTACGAATGATTCTATAATGTATATTGTACTCATATCATATTGCTAATTGTTTTCGGAGTCTGATTAATTGTCGCATAGTTTCAATCGAAGAGCATCGCTCAGTTTTGTGAGATGTTTCATTTTTCAGTTAAAAATTTATTGATACATCTATCAATCTAATAAAAATTTACAAAGTGGTCAGTTCTAGATTGTGTATGATCTCTAAATAGGAACAAGCCTAACCAAATGGGATTAAAACATGTCTATTTCCTGTTCACCAGTTCCTAAACAGCTGTTTCTTCTTATTAACTTCTATGCGTACACATTTTTTGAATTTACGAAAGAAACTTCATCGTTGGTTTTTTTTTTACAAAACATGTAGAACAAATGGATTTAGATACATAAAAGAAGTTACAATTAAACAGTGACGAACTAATCTACTCAATGGTTTATATTAGTATTTTGCATTTGTTCGGATAAGTTTAGTTTCTATTCTGTGGGAAAGAAGAAGTCGTAAAAAATCTTTAATAATAAAAATGATCTTGTTCTTGACCTAGCCTCTCTTGCAGGTTAAGATAATTGTGCATATCTTTAGATGCACGAGTTAAATTAAAACTTAGCATTGATATTTTAGTTAATTAATGAGAGGAGATTTGTGTTTTATTTTTTGTATTACATGAATTTATTAATAAGATTTTGGTTTTTATTATTATTCATAGAAGTTCGTCTACAAGACTTAAATGTAAACATAATTATTCAGAAATAGTCGATAATATCAGGTAAATTCTTAAGTTTTATGTATTGCTTTAATTTTATCATTTCTTTTTTTTTTATTAAGTAAAACAATCAGTGAAGCATATATTTAAACCATTGAATCATATAAGTTAAACAAACAGTCAATAGTAATGATATTGATATAACAAAAGAATATTTGCTTCGTATATTTATTCTGATAAAAGAACAACAGTGCGGATATAAATATCATATTGAATTTATTTCAGATCAATTAATTAATGATATTATATTTATAGTTAATTCTTGTAAAAAAAAATCGTTTTTTCAAAAATAATGATAAAAGTTTTGATCTTTTATCGGAAAATGAAATAGCAGATTATGTAGAGCATAATACGTTCTACATTCGAATACGAACAAAAGTTTCAATGCTTACCAATTACTTTTCATCTGTCTAGAATGCTTTCAAGTGGATCATAGGCAGAGCAAAGATTCTAATTAAAACATTTTCTGAAGACTCATTATATGTTTCTTTTATTTTTATTTTTATTTTTTGTCTTGTTCTATTGATAGTATTATAATTTTGATGAAATGTTTTCTATAATAAAAATATTCAATTGTTAACAAGTTAATTTTTTTAATAGAAAATTTTTTATTTAGAAAAATCAGAAAAATAAAAAAAAAAACTATGAAAATAAATATTTGATGGTAATGGTAATATATGAGCGATGAATGCAGATGATATTCGTTTGTTATCTTATTATTTAATTCCAAAAGAATGGACTATTCATTTAATTGATCGAAGAACAGATGAAAAACAACTTGAAGTAATCATATATTTGAAGAAAGTTTTTTTTGTTTTTTATTTAATTAGAATTTATTATCCTTTTTTATTTAGCAAATTCAAAGAATTATTGAAAATGCTCGATTATTTGCATTTGATACTGGTCGGTAGGCTTTGTTTTTCTATTAATTAAACAAATAATTAATAATTAGTATTTTTGTTTTTTTTATAGAAACAATGCCCAGTTTTTATCATTCCAATTTTCAACGAAATCAAAATTATCAATGGCAAAATAGTAGTTGGCATTTATTGCCAAGTCGAACTTCACAAAATTCATGTAGTAAGTATGAAAACTTCTCATATAATATTTACTAAATCAGACGAATATAATAGAAAAGAGATAAAGAAAAAATTTTAATAATTCTAAGTATTTAAACAAATAATTGAGATTGATATTAAGCCTTTGACATGATCCTTTATTTATTGTATTAAGTAGAAACGGTACAAATAATTTGCTAACCGTTCGAAAGACACAGTTAAATGAATAATTCAAAACATTATTTATAATTTTCAATGGATCGTCTATAAGAAGACAAAAACGTAACATTACCGAATTATCCAAATCAATGTATTATTCAAATGTTCTCTTTCAAACATACATATTTATAGTACTGATGTCAATTGTAGTATCGCCGTGACTACAGTATCTAGCTTTGTTTTTCATGAATCTTGCAATATGGTATAAATTAGCATAGAATTTCAATGTCTACAAGTGTAAAATCCTAAAGTTTAAAACATTCTTTGAACACCATGATAACACCGGCAGATTTTCAGTAATCCGGCTCGTCCACGTCACGCGCCACTTCGCTGATTAAGTTTTGAAAAGTTTTTGTTTTTTTTTTCGAGTTGGACAGATCTGAATGAGTTACTGGACGCAATTTTTAACGCTGATTACGAATTTGACATTTATTTTGTAAAAAAAATTAAATTTTTAACATCAATAACCGGATTTTAAACTTTTCAAAAATCGCATTTTGAATTTGTTAACCAAAAAACTTTTTCAAAAAATGTCGAGAGACATATCATTCAATACAAAATGACCTATTTAGTTTTGACTTTCATAGCTAAAGATAACTTCTAGACTCTTATACTATTCCTAACTTACTGTATAGTTTATGACCTCCCATGTTGATGTATCGATCTGATTCTTGCGTGGAACAATTATATGTATGGCAATGACCAATATTTATGAAAATCAAACATATCTGAGCACGCTAAGTACCTTAAAATTGATTGACAAAAAAACTGCGTCACAGCGCTACGTTTGTTTTTTACCTTTTTTTTAATATAAGCAACAATAGTTTAGAGAAACTTTTTTAGCGCCTAAAAGCCCGTTCAAAGCTCTACAAAACTGGCTCTAGAAGTGTTTCATTTGGAGAAATAATTTCACAAGGAATTGCAGTTTTATAAGCGGTCCTGAAGAAAAAGGATCTTTTTATGTCACAGTGTTTCGTGATCAAAAGCTTCCTCTAGAAACTCAAGAGTTTAACCCAAAAAACGTCATTTTTATCGTATAAATAGAGCACGATAAGCTGCGTCGAATGGCGTTTGAACAAACTTTCTAGCTCTCATTGTTTCGGAGATAATTGAAAAAAGTATGTCAAAAATGTCATAACATTACGTTTGGACAAGCCGAGCGATGAAAATTGTTTATATAAAGATACATTTGTTTAACATGCTAAATATAATATCGAACTGATTTTAAAATCTTTACATTTATTTTATTAACGAAATTTTTTATTCATATATTCTAGTAAGTAAACCATCACTTCTTCAAGTTGCTGTTCGAGGTCGAAATCGTAATGGTAAAAATGTTCTTCTTTTTGATCTTCAAGAATTATTTGATCGATCAAATATACATTTTCATGAATGTAATACAAGTATTCATATTCATAATTTAATAAAATTAATATTTAATCATTCTAATGCATATAAAATTTCTCAATCCTTATATAATGATTTATCACAATTAAAATGTTCATATGATGAAGATTGTTTTCATAGATCAAAACTTCATCATTGTATTGAATTATCTAATATTTATCGTAAAGTTTTTCCTAATGAAAAAGATCAACAAATTTATAGTCTACAACGTATGACAGCAATGACATTACATTGTCAATTAGATAAAAAACAACAATGTGCAAATTGGTCAAAACGACCATTAACACAATCATTAAAAGATTATGCTGCTATGGATGTTATTGTTATGATTGATATTTATGAACGATTAAAAACTAGAATTGAACAAGAATTAAACGTTGAAGATAATAAAACACAAACATGGTTGGTTTATAAGAAGTGAAATGATAAACACAAGAAAAGTTCAGCATACAAAAACTGAAGATAGATATGACGTCTATTGAAAGATCAATCCATGCATATAGAAGTTAGTCTTCTCTTTATTCGTATTTATATCCCACATAGACCTTGTTAGATCCGGGATAGAGACATAACTAAGTGTGGCCTAGGTCGGACAACAGTCTACTCTAATTGACATGGTATTTTCATGGATTTCCACAAGATCGTAGAACACTGTCCTACCACTCACGATCTTCTGGTTACGTCTCTAGTTCGGAGTCAACTGTAGAGACTCGAACCTATACACTCACAGCTCACACCTTCTACCTTCATTTTTTTTGTGTGCTGAACTTTTCTCGCGCTTATCATTCACTAATTCGTTATTAAAATTAACGAAAAAAATCGATTAATTAATATTTCCTATTTTTTCTTTATTCGTCTTTTAGGGAAGATTTTCAAAGTTCTCTTGAAATATCAATTGATTTAAATCAAATTATTCTCTATCATTGTATATGTGGTGAACGATTTATAACAAATAAAACTCGCAACAAACATGCTCGAACATGTATTCAAGAACAACAACGAATTGAACAAGTAGTTGTAAATGAAAAACGTCCTCGTAAAAAAAAGACTAACAAAATCTCAATTAATAATAATGATCCAATAAAACCTGAAATAACTATAGTATCATCTTTACCAAAACTTGATTTTGATGCACCACCTCCATCTGGTCGTGGATATATTCCACCAGCACTTAAACGTGCTTATCAATCAATGAATCAAATATCATTATATGAACAAGTTCGATGTTCATCAGCATTTGATGAATTTAATCAATTAAATGAAAATCGTCCACCTGATGCTCAATATTTTCTTGAAGATGATGATACAGAAGTTGCACAAGCATTTGGTCTTGAAATAATGAATATATCTTTAAAACCAAAACGATTAAATCAAATTAATCAAAATCAAACGAATATATCATTAATACCTGTATCTAAACAAAATCTCAAAATAGCTGCATATCCACCAAAAAATCAATCTCGTATGTTTAAAAACTTCAAAATTAAAAGTCTATAGTTCTTGACTTTTGTTTTTTTTCTTCTTTCTAATAGTATCTGTCAATATTCAAAAAAAACTATCGGATGAAAATGATTTACTCGATCGTTTAAAAGATGATTTTGATAGTCAACCTGATTTTCATTGTCATCTATTTGGTTTAGGTGGTCGTGGTCGATCATCTTCAATGCATTTATCTCCACCAGAACCGTTTCTTAGTAAACGAAATTATTATACTTAATTGTCATAGTTCAGATACTGATATATAACAAAAACAAACATTTGACGTATTGTTTTGTCATAAGTTAACTCAATTATATTATTTTATTTGTTGTTTTCTTCGCCTATTCCATTGTTCGGTGAAAGATTTTTCTAAACATGTATGGTTTCATTTCGATTTTTTTGTAATCGATGTTTATTACATTCTATAAATATCTCTCAAGTGAACATCTTATTGAATTAATTATCGATTGATACAATTGAATCATCCAAAATAACATTAAATAAGACATTAAACATCATCAATACATTAGTATTAGACTTCATTGATCATTGTTTTCTACATGATTGATTAAAAATCTATTAGCGTAATGTCTGTAGGGTCTTCTCTATCGTTCTCTAGAAATGTAATAATAAAAGTAGTTCATATATATATTTTTATTCAAAGTACTTTTTGATTTTTGCATTAAATAGTTTGTATTGTAGAAAAAAAGCGCAACGTAACAAATAGTCTTTATTAATAGAGAAGAATTTTGAAATCTTGATATTTTCAGAAACATTCTTTCATTTCATGACGATATATAACGATTTGTTGATATCATCGTTTGAATCTACTGAATCACCTAATTATCATACTATTTAAATTTTGATAAAATAAAACTGAAATCAATGTCAAAAATGTACGAGTCACTCTAATTTCTTTTGAACTTTATATGATCAATATGCTTTTCTTTATTCAGACATACGTCTTAAATGGCAAAGAAACAAATATCTGTAAAAAAATAGATTGTTATATAATGGCAACGGTATGCTTTAAAAGTTCACGTATATAGCATCGGATCGAAATACGACATTGAATTTAACATTCTTTAGTTTGAGATTTGGCCAATCATATTGATGAATTCATAAATAACAATTGAAAAAAGAAGCACCATCAAAGCAGTTTTATTTATTTATTGAATGTTTTTATTCAATGAGAAAAAAAAAATCGTAAAAGAAAAAAAAAAGATATGTTGCATACAAACATACTGAAAAACAATCAAACATTTTTCTTTTTTTCATATTTAATCTTAAAATAAAATATATGATATGCATCGTCATAAGCAAACTAACGCTTATAAAAATTATTTTCTTTTAATTCCATCAAATTCAACATCTTCACGAAAAATTTATAATTCATCTTATGATCTTCGTTTACGTACTCAACAAAGTTCTTATTTAAATACAACACCTATTTCTACATATTCGAAATCACGTGTTCAACATCAATATCAACCATCAACAACAGTTTCTAATTTAGTTAAACCATCATTAGTTTTGGACAATCAAAAATCTTCTAAATATTATCGACCTCCTGTCACTTCTCTTCCTCTAATATATAAACCACCAAATTCAAGTCGACAATCATCAATTAATGATGATCGTCTTGCTACAGCTAGTGTTATGCGTGAACATTTATTAGAAAACATTCAACGAAATATTAGCGAGATTGATCAAGAATTATCTTCATTAAAAAAACGATCTTCAATGTCAAATTATGTTTCACCACGTTTTCCACCTATTGTAGATCAACGATCAACATCTACTCATAAAAAGATTTCCTTAGCTAAGGATGATATAAAAATTTGGCCAAATACACCGAAAAAAATCTATCAAGTTGTTCCACGTATAACAAATGAAATAGAAAAACCATCACAACAATCAACACTAAAATTAAATGAAAGAATTATTTCAAATTCAGTTATTGGTCAATATCATTATGCACCAGAAACACAAGAAATTCAAATACTTGAAAATGATCCTGAAAATTCTGATCTTAAATCAACTTTTAATGAAATATCTCGATCTAATTTTCATGAAACATTTTCACTCAATCGATTTTGTCGGCAACAATCTGATTTACCAGATAATCGTGCATTAATTTTCGTTCCACAATATGTTGATAATTATGATATTAAAATGAATGAATTAACAGAAGAATTTCAAGAAAAAAATCCAATTGATATAAATTTTGCTCGATCATCAACTGTTACATCTCTACATGATTTAGTATCATCAAGTAAATTAAATATTCAAGATTTTCAATTACTTATTCAAACTGCACCTGATTTTCAAGTTCAAAATTCATCTGAAAATTATGAATCATTCAATAAAATAGAACTAAATTTAAATAATACAATACTTTCTAAACCTGTTAAACATTCTCATCTATCAATAAAACCTCAAGAAACACTTTCGTCTTCATCATTACCCATGAAAAATCCACAAAATCATACTGATATCAATATGAATTATTTTTTTGGTGACATTAAAAATGATTTCGAAGGTGAAGAAGATCTTATATCAATTGATCCTTATCATTTTGTTCTACCTTTTGAATCAGAATTTATTTCTGATGATAATAGAAGTAATACTTTTATTAAACAACCTCAAGCATCCTTATTAAATCATCATACATTACAACAACAACAAACTATTGAAAATAATACTCAGTATGTGAACGAAACAGAAAAGAAAAAAATTGATTCAACGACAAAACACATTGTTAATTCGAATTCAATAACAAAAAAAATCTTTCCTATTTCAATTTACGACGATACAAATACTGAATCTGCTAGAAATAACAATAATAGTAACAAAAATCAACAATAAACATAAAACAAGATCTTTAAATATGAATAAAAACAAATAATCGTCGAAGAAAAAAAAATAGATTAAATAATAAATCAATCGACCTTTAATTTACAGCAGAATGAAGTAATTAATAAATAGAAAAAAAACAAAAAAGGAAATCTGCCATTGCTACAAGTAAAACTCCATAAAGGAAAAGGATTTTTTTTCTGTTTTAACAATTATAACATTATGTCTTTATCTACAATAATAGTAAATAAATAAACTCATTTAAGTCGACTACAGATATCTTTTTTTTTAACATCGTTCATCGAAAAACAATCTAAAAATATTAATCAACATACATTCATTCTCGAAATCAATCGATGATTTATGCTAATTTGAGTAATATATTAGTTAAAGAAACTGAAGACTTTATCAATAATAAATGACAAATAATAATTGAATCATTTCATTGTTCAATGGATATTTTAGAAATTTCTAACTAAAATTTATTCATGCGATTTTAATAAAGCTCAATCATCGATATCAAAAAAAAAAATAACAACAGTTGAAAGAAAGAATTCAACATCAGACAAAATGAAATTTAAAATATCACCAACATTATCAGAAAATCAATATTTATTATCTCTATGTCATCACTCTAATCATGAACGAAAACAAGAAAATGATGGATTAAAATTAATTTTACAATAAATTATAGATAAAAAAGAAACATTAATATTAACAGCCATACATGAGCTTTGAATAGAATGATTTATGTTTATCATTTTTTTTCCTCGTTATAATGAACTATTTTATGATAATTTAGTATCTATCAAATGAGAAGATATTTTCAAACATCTAAAGTCTTTTGATCATGATAAAATTCATTATCAAATTTTAAAAAAAAATTCTACTATGATCAAATTAATCTGATTTATCATTATATTCTATAAGTAATTCATCTTCACTTGTACTACTATCTTTTGAAGGAAGATCTATTATTGATCTATCTTGAAAAATTTCTGAGATATATGTCAAAAATTCATGAAAATGATATCATTAACAGTCATAAACGATATAAGATATGGATGTCATTCTATTATCCATCAACATCTCCCGTACTTTTATTGAACTTCTTTTCTGTTTCTTGATTCTCTGAAGAAGAGAACAAATTTTGAATAACTTCTCACTTATTACTAGCAACTACACTAGAAATCCTATTGAGAACTTTCAGATTACAGTAATCTATTTTCATAATGAAACATAATATGATTGTTATAGATATACATGTTGTATTTTTATGTTGAAATTTGATCCTAATAAATTCTCAGACAGCTTGTAATCTAATCATCGGATCAAATAAAAGTTTTGTTGAATCCTAATATATAGTTTTGTAATTTATACTGTTAATCTCTCGACAAACAGTTTTAAATATCATCTTACTCTAGTTTGCTTTCGTATTAGTTAAATAATTTTTATTTTGAAATATGTTGACAGCTCTGATGCAAACTACGTGATGTGTATTCATATTGTATTTTGTTAATATCAATCTGTAAGAGAAAACAGCAATATAGAATGAGTATTCATATTAATAACCTAGTCAAACACTAATGTTTAAAGTAAAGAATTAAATATAAATAAAAAGATTATAACTAAATAAAATATTCTTGAATATTTAAAAAATAAAAGTAATTAAAATCTTTCTTATAAAATAAAGTTAATTTAAATAATGAAGAACATTTCGTTTTTCAATGAATTTTCAATTTTATATTTCTTACAGATCACTCACAAAAATCTATGTAGGAAAAATTATTGTTTATACTTTTTATGAATTATCGTCGTTTATTCACGACATGACATATGGAAGTATTTTTGTTAGTAAAAAAAAAAACTCTGATTAGGATATGCTCTTATCTTAGTAGGTATTTGTATATTGAACTATCAAAAAGAGAAATCATTTTTTTGAATCCTTAATTTGTCTTTATTGTTTAAATAGCAAAGACTTTTGTTTTATTTGTGTATCTTTATTTTATAAATATAAAATATTCATTTCTATATATTTTATGAAGTAAAGATAGTCTAATCTCCTTCATAGTGATAAATATAAATAATAAAAAAAAATCAAGGTAATTTTTCTGATTGATACACAAGAACATCAAGTCATATTATAGTTATCGTTTCATTGACAAACATTTCTACATATGTAAACAAAATAAAGTAAAATAAATAAAAGTTAAGCATCGAATATGATAACTTCTGTATATGTGATAGAAATCGAAATATCATATAATATGATTGTGCCTTCAATATCGAATTAACATATAAATTTATTTTTTCGTTTAGCAACAGCAATAGATTAGTTATACATATTTTAATATATTTGGGACATATGACATAGAAAAACTGGCGGGAGACTCTCATATAACAAATTTTCATTCAGAAAAAAAAAACTATCTTGTTTTTATTAAAATGAAAATATAGTGACAAAAAAAATGATCGTTCGTACTGTCCAATCAAATGCAAAATACATCGTCAGTCAAAATATTACGATGATCCCTTGTCAGGCAGTGAATAAAAAAGAAAAAAAAATATGTGATAAGTACTGATCCACAGGGCGCCTCGAACTATAACGTGATCTCAGCTGAGATTGGCAGCATAATTAAATGAGAACGTCAATTGATTGGTAAACTGTGTTGGGAATCAGATCGAGTTGCATTTGAGAATGACAGCAGAGCTTGGTCCAACAATGTAGTCACTATCAGAATCAAAATCACGATCAAAAGTGATCGGCTGCATATATGTCTGAAAATATAGTTGGAGGACGAATTTGACCACGTTTATGAATTAGAGTCACAAAATATCATCATTTAAAAACTACTATGTTGTTGCTTCGATGTACAATCATAAAATAAACAAGTGTATACAGTCCACAGCACATAATTATGCATCATGATCGAATTCACTCTACATCACTATCAATCAAGGTTAGTACATAATGTAGGACAAAAGAAGGAAAATGATAGCAATCTTTCAAGGCGTCAAGCGAAATATGAAATACACATATCTTGCACAATTAATACGCGTATATGGATGAATGAGCATAAGCCAAACTTATATCGCGAGGTATATATAAAGGCATTATAATGTTTAACACGGGCATTCGCAACAGCACTAACTGTTTTACCGTGTTATTTCAGCTGTGATCAAATCTAATTTCGAAAGAGTACAGTAGGTAAACGTTTCTCTGTCTTTAATGTAGTCTTTTCATGGTCTTTGTATTCATGGGTATCAAGCGGGTAGTTTTATTCCTAAAACATTACAATTAACCTTTTATAACGTGATATCATATCGATGAAATTGTTTCCTTTGCCAGAAAATCTCTACAAAGTTCTGTAAGAAGACAATAGCTAAGATTTAATTATGTTAAAATTACTCTCCTCACAAAACATCTGCAAGAAGAATTATCTATTTCGTTGAGTGACACCATTAAAAATGCATTACTTGAGTATTTAAGCTTTCATCATACGAACGATTACGCCTCGCTGAAAACGAAATACGATGCCATATCGAAACAAAATCTTCTAGAATACTTTTTGGAAGGAGCACCCCTTCTTACAAGGTGAACAGATTTCACAAGTTCTGTATTCCTCTAACTTTTTATAAAGCATAACTATGTAATGAATAAAAAATTCTAAGTCAACTAACCAAATTTCAGAAACTCACAAAAATCTACGAAGCTCACAGAATCCATCGAACTCAAGGTATCCACGAAACAACAATTTTTACGAATGAAAAGGCAAAAAAAATGCACTTGACTTTTCATTATTTCGGTAATAATAATAAAGTTTTTCTAAAGAATTTTCCGTTCTAAAAAAGATTATTCATACTATGAAATATATTTCAATAATGCTGAATTCCTAAGCAAAGTATTGTCAAGATGCATTTAATAGTATGCTAAGCAAAAAACTTTAAAGAAATAATTATTTAGTATAAAAAAAGACACTAGCTACTGTAGATACGATACAACAAAATACTATCAATGATTATAATCTATGGATCAAAACTGATTAGATCGCTCTTCAATATTATGACTCTTTTTTAAGAAATTTTATTTCAAAGCAAAAAGGCATAGGAATACTATGACAATAATCTTATCCAGTCTCCAGATGATTCAAATTTGAATGATCGTGTAAATCTCTTATTTCACATGTGATTAATAATGATTTACAATTTCATTCATAGATCAGTGTTCACGCCCTTGACAATTCTTAAGTTCAACTATCAATATAGAACTAAATCAATAATGAGCGACGACGTTGACAATGAGCCCACGCAAACTGGTAAGTACAAGAACTCTATGGAAAAAAAAAAGATCATCACTTATTCCTTCACCTATTTTCATATCAGAAGTAGATTCGGAATCAACCAATGCTCCGACACCTGACTGGAAACAAGAAGCTTTAGACAAACATAATGAATATCGAGCTCTTCATGGTGTCGAACCGCTTGAACTCGACGAGGAACTTTGTGCTAGAGCTCAGGAATATGCTGAATCTTCGGTGAAAGGTAATGCATTAGTACACAGTAGCGATGATGTCGGTGAAAACATGTTTTCGAAAGGTAGTTCGGAATCGTTGATGACTGCACCTCTTGGTTAGTTCAAAACACTTTATTTTCCAAAAGTAACTTTTATTCTTCTAGGTAAAATGGCTACTGAAGATTGGTATAATGAAATCAAAGATCATGATTATGATAATCCTAATTTAGATGTAACAGGTCATTTCACTCAGGTCATTTGGAAGAGTTCAACCCGTTTAGGTATTGGAGTAGCTTTCGACAATAATGGTAGAAAAGCAGTTGTTGTTGCTCAGTACACACCAAACGGTAATCTTCCATCAGCGGTGGCGGAAAATGTTCCACGTCCACAATAATCTTTTTCGAAATAAATAATCTCGATTATGGATTTTTTACAGATAATAAACTGTGATTCACATAATTGAAAAGCAACATATTTCTTTTCTCAACAGTGCAAGCATAATCTACTGATATTTATAAAGGTGAGGGGGTGTGAATAAGAAGAGAAACACATACATATTCTTGATGATCTTTATCTATCTTAATGATTACAAGAGTATTGTCTGCAATTTCTATTTATGATTTCTGATGTTTTATACAAAAATAGTCACATGTTGGTAAGTACAATAATTTTTTATGTATTCAATTTTTGACTATAATGACAAAAAATCATTCATAAAGTCTAACAAATAATCCGAAGTGAAGTCAGAAGAACTGCTACTTGTAAAATTAACCAATATGCAGGATCTTTTGAAATTATGATTGTTGACATTATAAAAAAAAAGACTATGAATGAATATGTGTTACTTAGAAAAACAGAATCTTGTAGATCAATAACATCAGTAGAATTATACAAAATTGACAACAATTTGTCAATAAGTTACAAAAATAGAATAGTTTTATACTTAAAAGTAAAAACAGACTGTTTCAATATCATATGAGTATAGTAATAATTAATAATGCTATGATCAAGTTATTGTTCATGTTTGTCAAAGGAAAAATATACATGTAAAGTAGTTTCATGTAATATGTGACAAGCATTTCGTATTGTGTCAATAGAAATTCTTATATGATCGATGTTTCTTCTAAACAAAGAATGACATTAATTGCTCAAACTCTCATCTGATGTACTAATTGTTTAAAATTATCTAATCATCCTTTCGAAATAAATCATGATGCTTTCGATCATAATTGTCTTTCAATGTTAAATTTTAAAAAAATTGTTCTTTTGTAAAATTTGTCAAGCGATGCATTATTTCGAATCACATTTACCTTCCAAAGAAATTAGATCACTATTTACGTCAGTTTCCTGAACTTTAACATCAAGTTACCTACATTACACCTCCTCCGATATCTTTAACAACAACATACTAGGCTATATCGAACATCACAAATAATAATTAATTTTCATCAACATCTACGACAATGTTTATTCCTCAATCATGCAGATTCATGTCCTTAACTATCTTATCTATCATTACAAGAATATAAAATTGATTACTGAAACTCTATCAGCTCTTATTCACTCATTTCGAGCTTTTCAATGCATGTTAATAAGAAGGCCTGAGGCATTTGCTATCTTCAATATTGCGAATGTAATTTCTTCTCCATCACATGACTAGTACTCTGAACATCCGTTCAAATATTTTTCATATGGGCTCTCATTGATATCGCTACTAACCGATCGATTGTTTATTTTCAATTCTCCATTTGATAGCAATGTATTTAGCTCTATGATTACTGAATAGAACGAAAGACAATCATTTACAAATTCATTTCATCAATGATCATCTGTGATTCCATCAAAAGTCTACCTTAAATAGTTGACAATTCTTTTATATAATATTCAAGATATTTTCTATCGTTATTCAGAAATTCGGATACTGGTTAACGATCTTCAATCTATTATCATGACTCTTATTGTACTCAATGATCATTTTATCAGCATTTTTTTCCTTAAATTTTCCTGTATATTCATTCTCTAGTTTATGATTTCGATTGTATTTACTTAAAACGTTTTACTGAATTACTATCTGCTGTACACATAAGAATCACTCGATATGCTTCTTATTCTTTATATAGACGTTTTTTTTTTAACTTCAATTATGCGACAACCAATTGAATTCGTTTATAAAGTCAGAAATTGTTACTACAAAACTCAAACTTTTACTACAACCCCGAAGATACTTTAGCTCGATTGGATTCTGACAATTTTCATTTTTCTATAGTATTAAAGGAACATGATTCTATTCGTAAAATTTTAGCTGAGTCAATGTTAAGCAATTTTTGAACGATCTTTGATGAAGTCCTTGAAGTCGTTTCTACTCTCAAAACCAAAAACATCTTTAGATTTATACAACAATTCTGACCTCATGCTTAAAAGACTTTCTATTGATTTCATCTCTGTTTTTACTATTTTGTTTAACTCATTTTTGAAACTTGTGTTCTTCCTGATTTATTTAAAATTCAACATTGATTTGTCTTTTGAATACAACATCATTTCCTACCATTGATGATATTAGACCTATCTCATTGGTGTGTGTATTCGGTAATTTATTTGAGCGAGTTATAAATCGTAAACTTAGGCGTTGGATGCACGTTTCAGCTATCGTTCCGAGTGAATGATCTGGCTTTCAGCCTATGTTATGCATTGCTACGTATGTTCTTACTCGTACTGTCTATCTCGATTTTAAATCTGCCTTGGACAAAATCTAACATTTTTCTTTATTAGTAAAACTAAATCAATAGAATATGCCTCATTCTTTACTAATTTTTTTAAATCTAGATTTAATAATTGTACAGAACAGCTCTCTTTTGAAAGCTTTTTGTCTCTAAAACTTAATTTAGAAGGGTGACCATTACAAGGATCAATTCTTTTCTCTAATCTTTATGTTCTTTTTTTTTAATTTCTGACCTTATTTCAATTTTCAGTGAACGTAATGTTAATTTTTATGCCAACGTTGATGAAGTAGTTATATTATTACCTTTTGGGCTTTGTTTCGAGAATCTCTTAATTGGCTTGGGCAGAGAAGTTAGCGATTGGTTAATTCGCTCTTAGTCAACTGGAAAACGTGGCTTGCTGACTTAATTCCTATTAAAACAGGCTACCAACTTTCAAGATGTCAAATTAGCATTCATGAACGAATACTTTTTTTTGAAGGGTATTGTTTATTGCGTGTTAAGAATTTTCTATATCTTGGATATGAAATTAACACTCGAGCTTCTTATGAATTTGTTCGAACTCAGAAGATGTCTGCCTTCAGTCATGCTCGTGATTGTATACTTTTAGCCAATCTTTATCCAACGAATCCTCGTGAGCAAATATGCTACAATGATTGGAAATACAACTGTAAGGGGAAATATGCAACTTGAAACCATACTTGAGACAATTGCCTGATTAATGTCAAACTGTTTTCATATGGACAACTTCATGCAGAAGCATCCCTATAATACACATCTGAAAAATGTACTAAATGAAACAGATTGACCATATTGTACGTCGCTACTTGAATGCTGATGACCCATCAGCAGAGAAGTCGTCAAGACCAACTAAGCATTTTTGAATTGATGCTACACACCTTGTGAATTCCTTCAGTGCCTCAAAATTTATCTATCTGCAATACAATGAATAATGATTGACGATTCCTTGAGGAATCATATTAGGAATAGTGTCCGGAGTGCCAACTATCTCACTCAACGATAGCCTTATTCTTGTTTCATCAAATAGAAGATCAGTGGTGATATGTAACGAGAACGTGAAGTATATAAAATGCTAAACTTGTTTGTTCGTGTATTTCATAGGTTATGCTTTACTTTTGCAATAGACATGATGACAAGCAGATTTGATCTTCCAGTTTGAAATGTTTGGAAAATGTTGTTTGAGTACGGATGCAGAAAAGTCAGCATCAACGATTACAAGAATTTGACAGCAAACGAATCAAAGTTGGGTGTTACCGATGTACCAACCATAGCCTACATGGCTATGTTGAATTTTCTATAGTGCAAAAGAAAGTAAATCTCACATGTTGTTCAAACAACAAAGTAAACATATGTACTCATTCTCTTGTGAATCATTGTTTTTATTTTTGTCATCTACGATACCATGCCAAAGTTTTTCATAATCATTGAATGCTAGTACTTTGCTAAGTGAAGAAATATCATCTTTATTTGTATTTGAAGATTTCGCGAGTGTTTCACAATATTCATCATTTTTGTTGACAGACGACTTTATACTATTGGAAGGAGTACAAACAATGTAATCATGCTTGTTATAAAAGCACTCGAACATTACACACGCCTACTTCATCATTTCATCAGTTATGAAAAGTAATTCATACAAAATCTTCTAGGACATGAAAACTATTTTTTACTGATTCTTCAAAGATCCCATCGTTATGATCTATCTATGAAATCGGATTATGGAGTACATTCCATAGAGAACTTTATTAGCTATTGAAACTTCTATTCCGTTTTGAGACAGATGCTTACAGTTATAGATTGTAATATGATCGAAAATATCTTGTTTTTATAATTTTTTCTCCTGTTTTAGGCTAAATCCATATACAACACTATCAGTGAGAAATTTTTTTTTGTTTCGTTTCTTCGTCGAATATGATGAAAATAGTATAATTTACTTGAAGACATTTTTCTGATCAAAATAAATAAAAAATATGTTTTCTTGGTATCCATCTCTCATACAAGATCCATTAACAGAACTATAGGATACAGTGAGAGATGACTTGAATGCCTTATTATATTCATTAGATATTATACAGTTATTAAGCGTTATATATATGCTACATAATAAAGGATACTTTGCATTTCTTCAACTTTCTTCTGCTTCAATAGGACTAAAAATCTACTCGTAATATACTATAAAGTAACAGCTGGTGAATAACGTAATTGTTTTGCAGAATTCTCCAAGGGCTTTTATCTCAATTTTTTAAAGCTTTGCTCAAATAATATTCTAAATGTGATGTGTTCATTGTAAGATTTTTAGGTTTTTTTCATTATTTCTACGATGAGATGTTCATATTCGAAATTCTGTTGTGTGAAAAAGCGAATTTTGTGCTTATATCCACCACTTACGACAGAAGCAATGAAACAAGCTGAAACTCAAAAGTCAACTCACACAAAAATACCAAATAATCACCTGGAGAAATTATTTGAATTATTTGTGACCTTCTTTTTCTATTCATGGTGGAGAAGTTCAAATATCTAGCTTGATACACTTCAACACTCCTTTTAGATGGTGTGCCACCAAAATTAAGTCAAAAGGGTGTTCAGAGAAAATTTCTGTCACAATCATACGAGAATGCCTTACTTAAAGAAATTTCATGAAATTGATATAATCGAATAGACATATGCACGAGATATATGTGGTTTTAGAATCGGTCTTAATCGACCTTGTATGAAGGATGAATAAGAAAAGAAAATTTTTTTTGAATAATTTTATGATTCTTACAGTTATATGGATGATCAGTAATATCAGTCAATAATGCGAGAGAATAAGAACGAATAGAGGTAGAGGACACAACTGAATGAGTCACTTAGTGTATATTATAGAAAGAAAGAAAAAAAAAACAGCCGTAACAATATGTGTGCTCATAGAGTTTATTCGACGCAAAAACTAGGAGAAAGGATCATGTTTTTTTTTCTTCTTCATTTTTAGTCATAGTAATATAAACAATGGATGAAAAAAGGTAAAATAAAATTGTCTTATATTTATTCATGCTAGAGTATGACCCCTCAACAAATGTACAAATGATATTTACTTTCGAAAAAAGAAGAATCATACAATCTCAAATATTCTTCGTATTGGGTTTTTTTTAACAAAAAATCGATAATATAACTATAATAGTAAAAAACATATTAGAGAAAAAAAAGGACAAAGATATGAGTTTTTCATACAAAATGAATGAAAATGAATTTTTCTATTTTTTTATCATCGAATTCAGTATCAATTTATGACTAAATAAGGTTTCATATGAAACGATTACAGATTATAACTTCAAATAGTAATATGTGATTGTACTAATCTCATAAAATATTATTTTTTAGTTCAACAGTTGAATTAAATACGAATGTAAATTCGTTTGAAATCGAGATGAAAAATAATAATAATAATAAAGAACAAACTATCGATAAATTAATAGAACCAATAATTGCAGTAAACACTGAAGAACCTATTAAATCATCTTCAACAATAGCAATGCGTTTTATTGGAATATTTTATATATTATTAGCAGCATTAATATTTACAAGTTCAATATTTATAACAAAAGAATTAAAAGTAGATGTACTTGATGCATTAATTCCTTGTTATATATTACATAGCATAATATTGATTATCTATAGCAAAATAATAAAACATTATTCATTGTATCAACAATCAAAAAAACAAGAAATTTTTTTTCTACTTATCAATGTCTTTTTTTCTACAACTGGTGTTTTTACTTTTTATTTTGCTTATCGTTATTTACCATTACCAGATTTAATAACAATACGTTATACACAAGTAATATGGACAGCCATTATAACTGCACTTATCTATCGTGAAAAACCATCGATACCAATGATAATAGCTATTTTATTAACAATGAGTGGTGTTATATTTGTTGCTCAACCAAATTTTTTATTTAATACAACATCAAATAAAAATAAAACTAATATTTCAATTGATTATTATCAACGTCTAACAGGTTTATTAATGTCATTATATTCTGCCGTAGCATTATCAATAATGATTATATCAAATAAACATTTATTAATGAAATATAAAACAAAAAATAGTTCAATTATGTTACAATATGCAATTGTAACATTATTTGTATTAATTGGTAAAGTATTTTATAAATATAATTTTTTTATTGATAATATAGAATTATTTAAAAATGATTTTTTTAATTGGAAATATTTATGTGCTTCATCAATATGTTTATTACATATACTTGCAATAATATTAACACAAAAAGCTGTTAAACGTGAACATCCATCAATATTTACAATAGTTCAATCTAGTAATATATTATTTTCAATTTTATTACAAAATATATTTTCATCAATGAAATCAAATCTTTTATCAATAATTGGTTCAATACTTGTTTTAATAAGTATAGCAATAATAACTGGATTGAAATTTTTTGATGAAAAAAAACAAGAAAAAAAATAGATTACAAATTGTTCTATTCAATAGATTTTCTTTTCTTTTTTGTTTCTTTTAATATTTGTCGCATTTTAATAGAGTAGCTTACTTGATTTTTTAAATAAACTATTGAATAGTACTTATTTTCTTGTTCGATGTAAATTAGAGATAAAAAGATATTGGCTATGTTCGCAAAATGCAATAATTAAATAATAAGAAACTATAGTAGTCATGCCTGTGAAAAAATTAAGTGAAATGAAAACAAATTAAAATGTTTTTTTCTTTTTTTTTATTATGATTTGAAGATGCAATAAAAATTTTTCTATTCAACAAGAAAAATTACCAAGAAAAAAAAATGCTGAAAATTTTAATGGATTATTCATAGATTAGGCTCAGTTTTTTTCTATGAAATTATAGAATTTTTAGCACGTTTGTGCACAATATTCAATTGCAAAAAGAGTGTGAGCGTGGAGCGTGAATGTGGCAAGGTCAGTTCACAAAGTTTTTTTAAGTAATAAAATTGATGTTAGAGGTGAAATTTTGTGCTAGATATGTAAAAATTTTTTTTGCGCCTTTTCTCGAATAATTATTCTATTTTAATGAGCCTTATATCTGATTCTTTTATAAGGTTTCTGGTAAAAAAAAATTGAAACCAACCAAATGCCTTACAAAAATAAATATTCATTTTTCTTTTCGTGCTTAGGTTTTTACAAAGTTTCAGGAGGAAATCTCATATACTAGTCATTTATATCTGTTTGCTTTCTCAAAGATGAATATGTTTGATATCTATGAATAATGCCAATAGTAGAATCGTTTATCTATTAACAGATTGCTAAACTGCAAGTTTTGAATAGTCTCACTTAATTATTACAGACAAACCTTAGGTTTCTCTTCGAACGATAATCGAAACCTGAATTTGATCTTCAGCAACATAATATCTAAGATGAGCTTAACTACAGTAGCACAGTTTTGATTGTCACTGCTTTAAAAAAAATGAAGTATACTACAATTAAAGATATCAAACAGTATGGACGAACAGAAGAAAAAAAACAATTTTTGACACAACGTTAACTGATTAAGTTGATAAGAGCACGCGAACTTGCTCGAAACACGTTTTTTTTAGAAAAAGAATGCCATATATATATATATAATATTTTTTTAACTGATTCGGCTAGACTAGTTATAACTTTGGTGTATGGTAGATACAAGTGCCTTCTCTTTAGCATGTAATACCCTGTAACCTACTGTGCAAATGATACATGTGGCTTTTCGTTTCAAGAGGATTGGGAAATTCATCAAGGTTCTTTTGATTATTTCGGAAATTCATACATACATCTAAATGACAAGGATATACAAAGATGTTAGACGATTCGTTTGTTCTTGAGGTTGTGGGTGTGATCGAAGAAAAGACTCACACACTCACATCCATACACAGGTCACTTTTTGTTTATGCAATAGAGCCCGGCGATTTCAAACAAAACTGGAACCTAAAATTTTTAATGACAAATTGTGTCATTTGTGTTTCTTCATTCTTTTATAATTTCTTAAGAAACCAAATTTTTACCTATTCACTACATAGGATCCTGCTTGTCACGAAAAATACTGAGTAAGTAACTTATGCACATATACTAATACAAGGAATCAGTGTTGATTTATTATTTTTGTACAAGTTTTTTAGATTTTGTTTGCTGATATCATTAATATGTAACAACTCATGATGTACAATTTTGTACTATAATCAAAAACAATGTATAAATACAGCTGCAATAGTAATCAAGAAGTTCCAAAAAAAGTTGCAGGTGATTATATTGTTTTCTGCAATAATTATCATGGATAAGACAGAAAACGATGATATCAATTTATTTTAGAACCCTTTTATAGAATAATTAGTTCCATATGAATATTTCATATAGAAAGTGACTTCTCTTATTTTTTGTCATGTATATATTGGATTAATGGCTTTTAAGAGATAACTTCGAAAAAAGAAATATTAGTTGCTTGCTGTTCATATTAGATGAACGGTTTCGGTTCCAGTTTTGAGTAGCCGACATTGGAGTCTGTTTTTTAGTTTTACTAACCGTAACCGCGGTTCTGGGTATTTTTTTGGAACTGCCGGGCTCTACCATGTAAACAAAGTGTACATATACATCTTGTTTTAGATTTTCATTAGAAAAATCGGTAGGAAGTACTGATATGGAACATCTATCATCATAGCCACCTTACACAAAAATTCTTTTACTCATATTCTTCTATTATTCTTTCTGATAAACTTTTTATCAATTGATAGATAAAATTTTGAAATTTATGAAAACGTTGTTTTTTGTTTTGTTTATCATTTTCCCTAGTTTTTCTTTATGCGTTGCTGTTTTTAGTTTAGCTTTTTGTTTTTTTTTTCATTTCGCTTAATAAGCTCATATATCTAATCCTAACAGTTATGTTTAATGAGCATTGTCTACTTGTTTTTAGCATCTATATCGATCTCAATCTGGAACTGATCAATTCACAATGCCTATTACTTCAAAATCAATCAGACCCACTACTATTACTGTTCCGTCAAATCAATCTCAACAAAAACATCAAAAGAAAAAACCTGATGATGCATGTTTTGTACTTTTTGTTTATCTCACGATTAAAACATTCAATCTTGAACTGCTTCCAATCATATCGTAAGAATAATAGAACACTTTTTTTTATTTCATGATCAAATTCAATTCTAATTTAAGATGTATAACCACTCTGGTTGCTATCCAAAAAGTATTAAATACTTTTTCTTAATATTTTTATCAAAAAATTTTTTTTTTTGAAATCGCAGATGTTTGAAGATTATCAAGGTACACCAGATTCAAATAATTTGCCAGTATTTAATCCTCTAGGTTTTAATACAAAATTAAAAATGAATATCGAGTAGATGCCATGAAAAATTCTTTTGCTTTTTTTTTATCGATTTAATTTAATTTCCTTACAAAATGTCGTTCAAATGCTGTAACTATGAATACAGCTATATGTTATTGAACAATGCATATTGGATGTATACTATCTAATATAACTAATGAAAAAAGCTAAAGAATTACTTAGTGATGTTATTAAAAGTTTTTCATGAGAAAAAATTGACTTAGTTGATATAGCAATTGCTAAAAAGTATGCTATTAGAAAAATTACTAATAGAGATGTTATCCTTATATATGGATAGTAAGTTGAACAGTAAGAAATTCGATTTTCTTTTTTCTAATTGAATTGAAAATATTTAGTTCATCATTGATTATGTATATTTTGGAAACAGCTATTAATCGTAGTATTGCTTTTTGAGTGATTATTGTTGATATTTGTCTAAAACAAAAACGTTGTTCTTCTATTTTAATCTATAAATTATTTAGGTCTTAAATCTGTTCGAAGATTATTATCATTGAACGTTAAATGCAATTATTTACTTATTAATGTTGTACTATTTATTATTTTCGAACTTTGTCTTTTTTTTGTTTTTAATAAATTTATATGTAACAAAAGTATTATTAGGTGCACACAGTTTTTTTTTGGGTAATGGTTATGTCATGAATCAATTTAGTACAGCACAAATATCTCTTATTGCTAAAGCAAATAATATACCTGTTGTAAAACATAAATTTTTTGAATCAGTTCAAATTGATAGTTTCGTTTCTAATAAACTTGGTATAGTATTAGTTAATTAAAATTAAATTAACAAGACTTCTTCTTTTTGCATAATTCAGATGATCAAAGTGAATTAACTACTAATCATTCAGTTCTTCGTTCAGCTATGCTATTCTCATCATCGACAAGTCAAACTTCAAATTCATCAAAATCAAATTTAAATAGTCTTGATATGACATGTGACGTCATACCACCAATATTTATAAGTACTGTTATTACAGAATTGGATATTTTATCATGAACATCAGTAACTGTTGTTATTTGTATGCAATATAAACGATTAGATGATATATATGGACAACAGCAACAAGCAATAGGAACGACCACAATGACGACACCAAACATTAATGTCTTTCTCGTTCTTCAGAGCCTCTTTGATAAAACTAAAGAAAAACATATACTTTGATTGTTGGTATATTTTCTTTTCTTCTACTTTATATTTTATCAAAAAACAACAAGATATAATTGTTGTTCAAATGTTTTATTTCAATTGGAAGAGATCTATTTTATTTTATTTAACATATACTCATTGGAAAAAAAGCTAGTTTTATTGAAAGAAGTCTTTTTTGATGACGGTATTAACTATTGCTTTTATCATACGACAGATAGATTGATTTGAAAATGTATTCGATTCAATTGTTGGAGTATCCTATGTTAGGAATGGACTTCTGAGTCAATACTTAAAACATACATTGTGACTGATGATTTACAATCAATTGAACAATACTCGTTTTAAATTATTTTCTTTCTTTCCTATACGATTCTAATAAGAGATGCGGGAAACTCAAAAATTTAAGCATGAATGTTTTTTTGTTTGGTGTGGATAGAGCTCATCGAGTTACATAGGAAGAATATGATGTTAGATGTTAGAAAGTTGATTTCGGCTGAACAAAATTCAAAATAATGAGTTTTTCAAAAACATGCAAAATAGATGAACTTTTAAACATGATGCTAAATCTTCGTATTTATTGCTCTTATAAAATTCCAAAAGTAGGTTTTTTGTAATTCATCGTGTAAAACTGTGTATAAAATACCGGATTAGACGCTTTTGTTATCTAAAATAAACTGTGTTCTCTCAAAAAATGAATAGAATTCTAAAAGAGTTTTCTATCTAAATTGTAAACCTGTCGAGTACTTTCTTTATGAATGATGAAAAAGGTATTTTTAGTAGACTATAGTTAGAATACCAATGGAGGAAAAGTTACGTATCTCTTTTAACAAATAATGATCCATTGCTTAGAAAATCGAGTTTTTCTATATCGGTGATAGAATAATAAACGTTGGTTCATGTGTAGAGATTTTAACCATCAAAATTTTGTTTTCAAATAAACTGCATGTGATGCTTAAAATCAGCATAAAAAAAGCTGAATTGAGTGACATAAATTTTATTACAAAATACTTTGCATCGAAATTCAATCTGAGTAGAGGTACCCCGATGTAATTATTTCCCATAAGGTATAGAAGAAGTAAGGATTGGATTTCGATGCAAAATATTTTGTAATAAAATCTATGTTACTCAATTCAGTTTTTTATGCTGATTTTGAACATAACATGCAGTTTATTTGAAAACAAAACTTTGATGGTCAAAATCTCTACACATGAGCCAACGTTTATTATTCTATCACCGATATAGAAAAACTCGATTTTCTAAGCAACAGATCATTATTTGTTAAAAGAGATGCGTAACTTTTCCTTCATTGGTATTCTAACTGTAGTCTACTAAAAATACCTTTTCCATCATTCATACAAAAGGTGCTCGATAGGTTTACAATTTATAGAGAAAACTCTTTTAAAACTCTATTCATATTTTGAGAGAACACAGTTGATTTTAGATAACAAAAGCGTCTAATCCAGTATTTTATACACAGTTCTACACGATGAATTACAAAAAACTAGTTTTGGAATTTTATAAGAGCAATAAATACGACGATTTAGCATCATGTTTAAAAGTTCATCCATTTTGCATGTTTTTGAAAAACTCATTATTTTGAATTTTGTTCAGCCGCAATCAACTTTCTAACATCTAACATCTAACATCATATTCTTCCTATGTAACTCGATGAGCTCTATCCACACCAAACAAAAAAAAACATGTATCTCCCTGCTTAAATCTTAAATTTCCCGCAGCTTATATAGCTATGAATATACTATGACGCAATAAATTAAAGGCATAATCTAGTTTATGAGACCAAAATAATTTCTAAACAGACTTTATTCAGTTGATAAAAGAATCAAATAAATCAATCTTTATAGTAGTGAACTGTTTACTTAGTCTTTTTCGACAAACTTTTGAAATATCTTGTATTGTAGAAAAAAATTATATCATGATTGTTTTGTTTTAAGTTCTTTGAAATACTCGTTAAACAATATTGTATTTGGATGATTTGGTTCTAAGAATTTACTAGCCAATTGAACAGCAGATTCAGCATATTGTATGGCCTTATCGTTTTGTTTGAGATCGTTCAATATCGTCGACATATTATAATAAGCCATAGCTAAAGTTTGATGATTGGAATGAGAAGCTTGTTCTTCAATATCTAGTGCATTTTTGTAGAATATAAGCGCATTTGAATAGTCCTCCAGTTTTTGATACACTCCACCAATGGTACTATATACTGAGGCTATCAATGGGTGGTTAGCAGGCAGTGATATTTGTCGTATTCTCAATGCTGCGGAAAGGTTATCAAGTCCATGTTTATGATCTCCCATTGATATTTGGGCTAGACCAAGATTGTTGTAGGTATTTGCCAAATCTGGATGGTTGTGATCAAGATGTTCTTGTTGTATGTTCAGAGCTTTTTGATGATATTCTACTGCCTTACAACTGTCATTCGGGTTTGCATACAAAAGACCAATATTGTTATAGGTATTGGCTAGATCAAGATCAGTTGAAGGACGCAATTTCTCTTGAATTTTAAGTGCATCTTCGTAGGATGTCAAGGCTTGCGAATGATTACCTTGTTTATATTGAGTGTACCCTAATTGATTATATATGCAAGCAAGAGCTTTTTCATCATCGTTAGGTATCGAACCAAGTACTAGATTATAGACTGTTTCAGCTTTACCGAATTCGCCGAATGTAACCATCAATCGAGCTAATCGATCAGTTGCACTTCCATCGCCAATTTCACTTCTCATACGTTTGATCAATTCACCGATTTGTAGATCTTTATCACTCACCAAATCCAATTTGATCTGCCATATATGATCCTGGTTCTCCTTAACTTGAGTAATTCGAAAAATGGTATGCATTGAAAAGAGAATTTCTTCTTCTGCGTGAAAGTAGCCCAAACCTTTCAACGAAGCAAACGGAATTGTTGTTAAAATTGGATCGATTTGCATTTCAAATAGAATAGGAACTTTATCTGGTTGACCTTTACGGTTCTGTGCAAATCCCATGGCAACCTTAAAATCGACACTTGTAGAAAGAAGATTATTGAAGGTAAGTAGCCCATTAATGTTCTTGTGTATTTTTTCAAATTCATCATTCGACATTGCTTGACCTCGATAGACGATAAATGGTGCCCTTCCAGTAGATCTTGTCCGATGTTCTTTTTCGAGCTGTTGATGAATGTCTTTCATAAAGAAACCCATGGCAGCAATTACATCAATTTCGAGCATTCTTAAACTACGATTAAGCATTTTATATGTAAAACATTCGCGAGTATACCACCATATTGGTGTATGTTTGTGATAATCTCGTCCGAATTCATCAATTATCTTTAATTCATATTCATTACCTTGGAAGATTTTTCGGCAAAAATCAACAAGTACAACTATTGCTTGTTCATCATAGTCCGTTTCTAGTAAAATATCTTTCATTAGTAGTGAATACATAAATGATTGATCGATTTGATTTAAATTTTGATTTGAGCAATCAGTCAAAGACAGAATACTAATTGGTGTTAAATCCTGTTCGCATTGAGCAGCATCGTTTACAAGTGATTTACAGATAGATTCAATTTGACTCGAAACAATTCTTATTTTCGGCCATTGTGTTTTCAATTGTTCATGTGCCGGTGGATAGCCACAAAATATATATATGGAATTGAGGCCAACATAATGATGAATATGTTCTATTATTTTTTGGGCGAGTTTTCCAGATACAATAAGAAATATTTTTTCGTCTCGTATTTTTTCAATAAACTTCTGACAAAATGTCGGATCAGTACAGGTTGTAATCGAATTAACGATTTGTCTTAGTTGAGAGATAGTATACCGACAATCTTTTTTCGATTCATCAATAGTCTCATCTAACCAGATCAGAGTAAAGTTTTGAACGATTCGTTTTTCCGAATATATTAAAGTATTTTTTTTATTTTCATAGGTTCTTTTTATACTCGATCCTCCTTTTGTTGAAAGATGATTTCCCATTTGATTAATGTTAATATCTAGATATTTCTATCTAAAATTAAAGATACTGATAGAATTTATGAATAATAAAATGTTATTTGATTACATAAGATTACAATACGATTCACTTTTACCTATGCGAACGATTTAAAAAAACCTTGCATTTCATAATAGTTGCTGTTGAATAAAGACAGAGCTGCATATATATGAGAGAGACGGAGGACAGTAAAAGAGTGACTATAAATTGTAAAATTTTTCTCGTACGCCAGCCATGCATATGTTTGTCTTTAATACGTTGCCGAAAGAAAAACAAATGCAACTTTATTTTCATTCATCATTCAGTCGTTAATACTGTTTGATTTCTGTGTCATAATATACACGTCTTGCAACGCACACAGCATAATTTGAAAAACTCATGAAGAAAAGAGAACGCACTACGTCATTTATGTGTAAAGAGAAATTTTTCGAAAAACGAAGTTGAGAACCTGTCGCATGAATGTCTCTGCCAAGTTAATAAAGCTCAAACACAAAAAAAAACAACGCAATTATTATGATTGTAGGCTATGTAAAAAAACAAATACTTGTACATCGACTCTTAATTTGATGTGATCAAAAATTCAAGGTAGTTTCCACCCATGTCGCACGTTTATTTGCACTGTCACTGATATACCGACAATTTACAGACGATAGCGCTTACGACTTCTGATTCTAGCTATAAACTATTATAGAGAGTATTTTGTACCCAAAACGAATTATTTATTAGCTAAACTCCAACGTAACCGAGACGAAAATAGTTCTAGAATAGTTTTTACTAATAAAAAATTTATCTCATGACCAGTCCTTAAACTGCGTTTTCCATGATTGACATTGTAGACTCTAATAAAAAAAAGCATCTTGAGACACTCAACTTATTGTTTTTAAATAAATTTAGCGTATTGTACAGTTTTTCACATGAAAACTTGGAATCGACCAAATTACGATTCTTAAAGAACTTTGGCGTTACGTTGTCTTACTATATGCAAAAACAGAAGATATCAAAATCTAATCTTAAAATGGTGCAAAACCACATGATACAAAACAATTCTAATCAATAACTATCGAATCCTTTTCAGATCAAACTAACGAAATGGTCCAACATAAACATATTCCATATAATACTTGAAAACAAAAAATTTTGCACGCTTTCTTTTCTGTCAATTTTTTGTTACATGAGACAATAGTGTGGGCGATCGTAACGTCGTTTTTTTCCTTTCCTTCCTTTGCCATCATCATAACATACACGAAAGAGAAAAAACACACATCGATGGGAAAGAAGTGATTGTCAATGCGCAAAGTGATGTTGATTTCCGAGACGAACACGCCATACATAAACTGTCTGTATGCGAACAAAAAAAATGTGGGTGTAAGTCAGTATGTAGCTGTGACTGGATATGAATGCGGAGAAAATCCCCACATCTCATGCCTATACTCGTGCCCACACTGACACTGATACATTCATACCTCACCCACACTCGTACTCACAGCCACAGACCCTCCATAAAACAATACTAAAGTTGTTACATTCTTTTTAATGCTATTTTACAATTATTCAATATAATTGTATCCCTACCTTCGTAATTTTTGTTTTAATGCATCCTACATATTTCTTATTGAACAAACGTCGGTCATTTTTCAGTATGATTCGTGGACTCAATTTGATTGATAAAAGATATATTTGTTAATTGAACAAGTCACAGATATTCTTTTTTAGAGCATTGATTACCTAGAAAAATTAGATCTCGTTAATTACGTGATTCGTTTATTGCTTGTCTCATACTATTCTGGTTCGCATGAACTTTTCATATATATCATTCATTATATTCCTTCATTAATACAAGCAAGAGATCATTGCTTTGTTTTAGTGTATGCTTATCAAAGAGGCTCTGGCAATAAATTTTGTCGCTCTGGTTTTTTTTTTATCAATTTAATTGATTAGAAATTTAAAAAAAAAATACATGATACTCTATAGATCTCAAATTTTGTAGTTGTTCAGTACTAAATAGGTACAGTAATCTATCAAAGTATCAACGAGTTTGCTTCTATTGAATGGCAAAACGATAAATTTTAAAATGATTTCAAAACTTCTGAAGCACCCTTTATGTTTGTTGTTGTGATATAGATCAATTTGAGTTCTTAGATGGATCATACTTAGGTATTTTTCGATATCAAATCGAATGTATAACCTAGTAGAAAAAATATTATATACACATATAGAGAACAAAATGGGATAATAATCTATTGAACGAGAATCTTTCTCTGGTATTATTGTTGCTTTTTCTAGAAAAGATTCTCTACCGAAATTTCAAACATCATTCACCCTTTACTAAAAAGTAATAAAACAAAAAGAAAAAACATGAAAAAAATCTTCATATATAATGTAGTAAATAGATGAGAATTTTTCTAAAAGAATAAACATTGAAAAAAAAAAAGTTGTCCTTAAATATAATTTGCATTCAATCAATATGAAATATTATTGCTTAGGAAATTTGGAGAAGATTTATTTTAAATAAAAAAACAAATTTAATTATTATATTGCTTTCGGAATACTTATTAACTCAGCACAAAGAAATTTAGGATATTTGACTTCATCTATAACAATTAAATAAAAAGCTTCATCATCATCCGAAAATGAAGATTCTACAGTCAACATTGTAAAACACATGAAGAAAAAATCTTCAATAGAACGTAAACAATATTTTTGTTATTTCAATAATTCGAATTCTACCAATTAACAGGTTGTGTGTATGAAAGCACAATAGAGACTTCATATGAATTTACATCCGATACACTACAGTATGTACTTGTAATACAGTGTGCTGCAAAATGTTCCAAGATAAATATTGAAGTGAGAAAATATCAAAACAAGAAAGCATCGAAAAAATGAAGTTGTCAGTAAAGAAAAACTCCAAAAGCTTATAGTTCATTGATACTTTTCTTATGATTCTACTAATCTAGATTTTTAACCATTAGTTATGGTGATGAATAATACCTGCTATAGATAAAATAAAAGAGTTTGACTCAGGATTTTTATATAACTGAAGCAAAAATCTCCAGTTACTTCATTTATACGATCATAAAGAAGAAAAACCTTTTTTCATAACAGATGAAATATTTTCAAATTGAATAAAACAACCAAAACAAGTATTCAATATTAGAAATGTACATTTAATGAATATTCAGTAAGAATTGATAAAAACTTGGATGATTAACATGTTTGTATTCAATTTAATGCAGGTCTAGGAGCAATATCGAAACAAGACAAACAATTCCAATTCAATATCGTACTGACAGTCTTCGTGAACAATATGATAATAGTATTATAAATGCTATGTAACAGTTAGATAGTTTATCATTTAGAATTGCTAAACGAAAACGAAGATACTTTATAATTTTTTTCTTTTTTTATCCCTTGACTTATGTTTGGTCTCAATTAGAACGTTAACATTAATTCATGCAATAAAGTATGTTCTTCACTAGTTAAAATTTTCTAAAACGCGTTTCGATCATTTTTCACATCGAGTTTTTTTCCGTTCGACATTTTTTTCGGTCAACCATCATTACATTAGGACAGATACCTTCTTTACAAACACGAACGATAAAATAATCGAATTATGAAATGAATAACAGTCTATCTATTTCACGATAATCTTCTCGATGCAAAAGTGCATTATCAATTTTAAGATCTCGGTAATCGATTTCATTTGAATATAAAAATTCTGAAGCAAATATAAGACCAGTAGCATAAAAACATTCATGAATTCGCTATATAGGTGTACCACCACGCAATATAGAAGATGAGACAAAATGATTGTAATATTGAAAATATTTTTATAAAGACAAATTCTATATAGTTGAAATTTTTCTTTAAAAGATGTACCGTGTAGAAAAGTTTAAATATAATAATACAAAAATAATGAATGTTCATGAAAAAGTGTTCCAATTTATTTATTTCTTTAAATGTTCTCTTATTTTGACCTTTTGATAATCAATGTTCTAATGGACATGATGTCATGTACACTCATCTAATGGATTTCAATTTCGATGCATTAGAAGACTACCGATTTTTAGATATCCTACTTGAGAAACTTCATCAGCATAACTCGAAGTACCTCTCCATAAAAAATAAAATTCTTTGCTTTGTTGATAGTAAGATATATACAAAATAATTAATGTTTGTTTTCATTTTTATTTCTCTCAAAATATTGGACCATTTGACCATCACACAGTGCTTCAATTTTAGCTTTATAAAAAAATCAATAGAGTACCTAAATGGGCTTTTTCATTACCATTTTTATAGAAAATTCCATAGCATATCTTTTTTTTTAAACGAATTACAACTTTATATGATTTGTCTCTGTTGAGATTTTTTCAAAATATTCACCGTTACCATCATTTTGAATCATCCGGTATGGGTTCTTTTTACATCATAT